AATAAAAATAATAATAACCCATTCAAACGAGCGTGCCTCTGCTGATGAGGAACCCGCGTGTCGAAACCGGCCCAGGGTTTTGTTTCTTGCTTGTCCTCGTGGGTTGTCTACAGAATCCGCTTGTCGTTGTTGTTTTTATTGTTTGTTGCGGTTTTACACGGAGAGGCGGATATGCGAAGGAGACGTCGATGATTTATTCCGGCACACACACACTCACGCAGACACACACTCACTCACACACTCACACACACTCACGCAGACACACACTCAGACACTCACACACACTCACACACTCACATACACTCACGTGCACTCACACACACTCACACACACTCTAACACTCACACAAACTCACACACACTCTCACACTCACACACACTCTCACACACACTCACACATAGACAAACTCAGACACTCACTCGCTCACACACACACTCACTCACACACTCACTCACACACACTCACACACTCTCACACTCACACACACTCTAACACTCACACACACACACTCACACACACTCTCACACTCACTCACACTCAGACACACACTCACTCACACACACACTCACGCGCACTCACTCACACACACACTCAGACACATACACACTCACACACACTCACTCACACACTCTCCCACTCACACACACACTCACTCACACACACTCACACTCAGACACACACACTCACACACACACTCACTCACACACTTACCGAGACGTCGCTTCCACTCAGAACAACCGCGTGGAGAGCTACTGAGGAGCTTCTGCCGGGCGCCGCGGTTGGGATCGCCGCCAACCGCCTCCGGCGATGCCATCGGGAGCTCACCACGTGCTCCACGTGCAACGTGTTCCACGTGCAACGAGCTCACCACGTGCTCCACGTGCTCACCACGTGCTCACTGCGTGCTCCACGTGCTCCTCGTGCAACGTGCTCCACGTGCAACGAGCTCACCACGTGCTCCACGTGCAACGTGCTCACCACGTGCTCACCACGTACTCCACGTGCAACGAGCTCACCACGTGCTCCACGTGCAACGTGCTCACCACGTGCTCACCACGTGCTCCACGTGCAACGTGTTCCACGTGTAACGAGCTCACCACGTGCTCCACGTGCTCCACGTGCTCACTGCGTGCTCCACGTGCTCCACGTGCAACGTGCTCACCACGTGATCCACGTGCGCACCGCGGCGCTTGACAGCGCGAGGACGCGAGTGGCGCTACCGACATTGGGGGGCCACTAGGAGGGGCGGGGGGGGGGGTCGGGGGAGTCAAACAGAGACATCGCTCGCGCTCGTGACGGGCACAGACAACAACAACAACCACTGGGCACAGACAACAACAACAACAGCCACCGGGCACAGACAACAACAACAACCACCGGGCACAGACAACAACAACAACTACCGGGCACAGACAACAACAACCACCACCGGGCACAGACAACAACAACAACAACCGGGCACAGACAACAACAACAACAACCAAAACATGCGCCACGATCCCTCGCTGCCAATCTCCGTCGTAGGAGCGACGAAGCCGTCAATCATCACGCGACACTCATCCGGTTATCCCACGACACCAGGTCGTTTCGCCTGTTGGGTTAGAACGCGAAATATATGAACGTGTCGTTAAACCCGCCACCACCCGACGCAGCCAATTCGTTAAGGTTCGGTACGTTAACAGAACGTGTCAACGTCACGTGACGTGGGCTAGAACTTTCCATCGTTACGCGCACAAACCTCACTCATTGGCTGCGTCGGGTGGTGGACGGGTTTAACGACACATTGATATCTTGATTTGAAGCTTTCGTGACTGCAGGCATCCATACTCTTTGGTTCTTTCGGCGAAGTCACGTGGGTAGAAAATAAAAATAAATCACGACGTTTCGGGCGCAACACAAACGTCCGTCCGATGACGTTCGTCCGATGACGTCTGATACCTACGTGACTTTACCGAAAGAACCAAAGAGTATGAACACATTGATATATTTACGGCCACTAACCCCACTCAAAAACCTGTATCGTTGACGATATACGTGTTAAACCGCCGTTTAACCGGTTCCCGAACGAATAAACGTTGTGATAAGGTCACGCTGATTACAGCACACGAAGCGCTCGTCACAAGCGAACCACAAATACCTCGCTGCCGATCTCGTCTAGGAGCTACACACAACCATCACCACGCCACAATCAGCCAGCCCATCCTGGCAGCAGCAGCAGCAGCAGCGGCTACGGCGTTCACCGCTTTCAGCTGCGCTCCTGCAGCCGTCTGGAACGCTCTTCCTTCTGATGTTAGGAAGAGAAGCCATTTGAGCAATGCACTTTTAAATCGTCTACATTGACAAACTCACTTCTTTAGAAATTGTGTTGTTGTTGTTGCGTTTGGTTTCTTGTCGTTCGCCCGCACCTCCGACAAGCAGGGTTGGCTACGTACGGTGCGAAAGAAGTTCAACATACACACATAGACTCACACATGGACCCATAGACTCACACAGAGACCCATAGACTCACACAGGGACCCAAAGACTCACACAGAGACCCATAGACTCACATAGAGACCCATAGACTCACACATGGAACCATAGACTCACACACAGAGACCCATAGACTCACACAGAGACCCATAGACTCACACAGGGACCCAAAGACTCACACATGGACCCATAGACTCACACAGAGACCCATAGACTCACACAGAGACCCACAGACTCACACAGGGACCCAAAGACTCACACAGAGACCCATAGACTCACACAGGGACCCAAAGACTCACACAGAGACCCATAGACTCACATAGAGACCCATAGACTCACACATGGAACCATAGACTCACACACAGAGACCCATAGACTCACACAGAGACCCATAGACTCACACAGGGACCCAAAGACTCACACATGGACCCATAGACTCACACAGAGACCCATAGACTCACACAGAGACCCACAGACTCACACAGGGACCCAAAGACTCACACAGAGACCCATAGACTCACACAGAGACCCATAGACTCACACATGGACCCATAGACTCACACAGAGACCCATAGACTCACACAGGGACCCACAGACTCACACATGGACCCACAGACTCACACATGGACCCATAGACTCACACAGAGACCCATAGACACACACAGAGACCCACAGACTCACACATGGACCCATAGACTCACACAGAGACCCATAGACTCACACAGAGACCCATAGACACACACAGAGACCCATAGACACACACAGAGACCCATAGACACACACAGAGACCCATAGACACACACAGAGACCCATAGACACACACAGAGACCCATAGACACACACAGAGACCCATAGACACACACAGAGACCCATAGACTCACACAAAGACCCATAGACTCACACATGGACCCATAGACTCACACAGAGACCCATAGACACACACAGAGACCCATAGACTCACACAGAGACCCATAGACACACACAGAGACCCATAGACACACACAGAGACCCATAGACACACACAGAGACCCATAGACACACACAGAGACCCATAGACACACACAGAGACCCATAGACACACACAGAGACCCATAGACACACACAGAGACCCATAGACACACACAGAGACCCATAGACACACACACAGACCCATAGACTCACACAGAGACCCATAGACTCACACATGGACCCATAGACTCACACACAGACCCATAGACACACACAGAGACCCATAGACTCACACAGAGACCCATAGACTCACACATGGACCCATAGACTCACACAGAGACCCATAGATACACACAGAGACCCATAGACTCACACAGAGACCCATAGACTCACACATGGACCCATAGACTCACACAGAGACCCATAGACACACACAGAGACCCATAGACTCACACAGAGACCCATAGAGTCACACAGAGACCCATAGACTCACACAGAGACCCATAGACACACACAGAGACCCACAGACTCACACAGAGACCCACAGACTCACACAGAGACCCATAGACTCACACAGAGACCATAGACTCACACAGAGACCCATAGACTCACACAGAGACCCATAGACTCACACAGAGACCCATAGACTCACACAGAGACCCACAGACTCACACAGAGACCCACAGACTCACACAGAGATCCATAGACTCACACATGGACCCATAGACTCACACAGAGACCCATAGACACACACAGAGACCCATAGACTCACACAGAGACCCATAGACTCACACAGAGACCCATAGACTCACACAGAGACCCATAGACACACACAGAGACCCACAGACTCACACAGAGACCCACAGACTCACACAGAGACCCATAGACTCACACAGAGACCCATAGACTCACACAGAGACCCATAGACTCACACAGAGACCCACAGACTCACAGACTCACACAGAGACCCACAAACTCACAGACTCACACAGAGACCCACAGACTCACACAGAGACCCATAGACTCACACAGAGACCTATAGACTCACACAGAGACCCATAGACTCACACAGAGACACACAGACTCACACAGAGACCCATAGACTCACACAGAGACCCACAGACTCACAGACTCACACAGAGACCCACAGACTCACACAGAGACCCACAGTTTGTTGTCCCCCCCCGCACCTCCGATTAGCGCGGTTGGCTACGTACGGTACGAAAGAAGTTCAACACGCACAAGCATTGGTCTCTTCGTGTTTCTCGCTCTACCCGTCTCTCTCGCTCTCTCTGTCTGTGCGTCCACCTCTTCCACGCTCTCCGTCTCTCTTCAGTGAGTCCCTATTCGCTTCACGTCCACCAATCTCCACGTCTCCCATCGTTTCTCATCGCACCAACGTCTCTCTCTCTCTCTGTGTCGATCTCCAATACCCCTCACCTCCCTACCCCCCCCCCCGTTCCTCTCCTCTCTCCCCCCCAGCCCCCACCATTCCCCCCACCCCCTTCTCCCCCTGGCTAGGTAAGACGGAGGGGGGGGGCTGGAGTGTGTGTGTGGGGGGGGTGATGTGCGTGGTTGGTTCGTGCGCGCGCGCGCGCGTGCATGCGCACATGCACGTGCACCTTCTCGCTATAAAAGGGACGCGAGCCGAGAGGAATTGGCTTCAGAAGAGGGAGGCGCACGGACAACGCCGACGAGAGAGAGAGAGACGACCCCACCTACCCACCAGCACCACCACCAGCAAAACAGCCGTCGCATCTCTTCGCTGCACGCGCTCGAGTGAGTGAGTACGATGCGCTGGTGACAGCTCGCTCCCGCGTGAGCCGCCTTCTCTGTGTGAGGACGCTGGGAATGCCCTCCCCGTTCGGTTTGCGGCCGTGATCGTTTTTCTCGAGAACTTTGCCATGAAACACTCCCCGGTTGCGTGCCTGCGCGCAACTTCACTCGCTGTCTTTCCCCCCTGGCTTCCTTTATTTTGTAGATATTTATACACATTTGTGGTGCCGCGGTGGCTAGGAGATGTTAACTACCTCGGCTGGTATACAGGAGGTCGTGGGTTCGATCCCGACCCTGGCACCTGCTGTATATTTGGAGTTTGCATGTCTCTCTCTCTCATCATCATCACGGTGACTAGGAGATGTTAACTACCTCGCCTGGTATACAGGAGGTCGTGGGTTCGATCCCGACCCTGGCACCTGCTGTATATTTGGAGTTTGCATGTCTCTCTCTCTCTCATCATCATCACGGTGACTAGGAGATGTTAACTACCTCGCCTGGTATGCAGGAGGTCGTGGGTTCGATCCCGACTCTGGCACCTGCTGTATATTTAAAGTTTGCATGTCTCTCTCTCTCTCTCATCATCATCACGGTGACTAGGAGATGTTAACTACCTCGCCTGGTATACAGGAGGTCGTGGGTTCGATCCCGACCCTGGCACCTGCTGTATATTTGGAATTTGCGTGTTTCTCTCTCTTTCTCTCATCATCATCACGGTCGCTAGGAGATGTTAACTACCTCGGCTGGTATGCAGGAGGTCGTGGGTTCGATCCCGACCCTGATGCCTGCTCCTGTATATTTGGAGTTTGCGTCTCTCTCTCTCTCTCTCATCATCACGGTGACTAGGAGATGTTAACTACCTCGGCTGGTATGCAGGAGGTCGTGGGTTCAATCCCGACCATGATGCCTGCTGCTGTATATTTGGAGTCTGCGTGTTTCTCTTTCATCATCATCACGGTCGCTAGGAGATGTTAACTACATCGCCTGGTATGCAGGAGGTCGTGGGTTCGATCCCGACCCTGATGCTTGCTGCTGTATATTTGGAGTCTGCGTGTCTCTCTCTCATCATCATCACGGTCGCTAGGAGATGTTAACTACCTCGCCTGGTATACAGGAGGTCGTGGGTTCGATCTCAACCCTGATGCCTGCTGTATATTTGGAGTTTGCGTGTCTCTCTCTGGCTCTCTCCTCGCGGTTGCGTGGATTCATCTCCGAGTCCTCCGATTTTTTTACCCCCCCCCCCCCCCCCACATCTAGAATAAAAAAATGCGTTCAGACTATTTGGCCCTTAAATACATTTCCACACGACGATTAGCCAACTTCGTTGAGCCATCACTTACGATAGTCAGGTCGCTCCTGAAAAATATCAATTATAACTGGTGTAATAATAAATAAATACAAGTATTCTACTGATGTACAGCGCTTTGAGATGACCAATCTGAACGGCGATTTAGAAAGAAAAAAAAACTGCGTTCATTAATCACTATTTTTATGACACCTCTAATTGTCCCAGTGAGCGCACATTCAGTCTGCAGCTTACTCATTCTACGTCCAAGTCATCTCACTTTGACTTTCTCTCTCCCGTTTCTCATTCATGGTCTCGTGGCGTACTCTGCTGATACCCGTAATGCAAACGGCCGCGCGTCGTTTGTCCACCGTGTCTATTCGATATTTAAAATCCTCCTTCGATGTTTTTTTACGTGAAATATGTTTTTTTTTATTCCACATCCCCTCTCACATCATGACCTTGCAACATGCTGACATTCTAGACGGCATTACCAGTTGCATCGACGCTATCAAGCACACCGGACTCATCAGAGCAGGCGGGCGGGGAGCCCATTCTGAGCTCTGGTATTTGAGAGTGTTCTAAGGTTTAGATAATTAAGCGTGTTCTAAGGTTCAGGGACGTATTAGTGTTATAAGGTTTAGGCGTTCAAAACTGGTCTAAGGTTTAGGTGTTTAAGACTGGTCGAAAGTTCAGGGATGTAATAGTGTTCTAATGTGTAGGTGTTTAAGACTGGTCTAAGGTTCAGGCATGTAAGAGTGTTTTTAGGTTTAGGTGTTTAAAACTGTTCTAAAGTTAAGGGATGTAAGAGTGTTCTAAGGTTTAGGTGTTTAAAAAATGGTCTAAGGTTCAGGTATGTAAGAGTGTTTTAAAGTTTAGGTGTTTATAACTGTTCTAAGGTATATTACATCCTTCTTAAAAATAATACACACGTTTTTTCGTGCTAGTTTACTTTATATGGACTTTGCTGTAATTGTGCAGTTTTCACACCCATCTATGAGACCAGTACCCCGGGAACTAATCCCCGCATCGCTTCCCCATGTGGTGCATATTTAATATCCATAATACAGAGGTTTTTTTCACACAAGAAGTGCTCACATCTGATGTTACCACATCTACCCCATCTATTTAAGCAACGAAACAGGATTTCTCCACGAATCTGGATGTCGCCTGATGACGCTAGCTGTAATTACTGGCGAAACGTCGTACTCGGATTGTAAATGTTGTGGTTTGGCTCTCCAACACAACAGGTGGTGCTGTACTAGTGACGGAATTAATGTAGGACTTAGAAAAATATATATTAATAACGAGATACAATATTAACTTAAGTAAAAAAAACGATTGTATTTTTTTCATGCTCGTGTTAAAATATATTAAATATTAAATAACCATATGTGTCCTGAATTTTGGGCCACCGTTTTCTTTTTTTTATCCGTTCCTTCACAACCCTCACCAGGGCTCACAGAATTCGCGTTACTCTGTGACACAGTTACACATTTGTGTGTGTGTGGTGGCGGTGGCGGGGTGGGGGTTAAAAAATATATATATCATCATCATAAACCAACGACAGGGAAATAATATCGAGGAGACAAAGCACGTGTTGACATTGAGTAGGAAGCACGAGAAACGGGATTTATAACGGGTACCGTATTTGTCGGATTATAAGACGCACCCCACCCTGCCTCTCTCCCCGCTGTATATTATCGCAGGGGGCCCCAACCCCCAGGCCACGGACTGGTACCGGTCCGTGGCCTGTTAGGAACCGGGCCGAACAGTAGCACGAGGTGAGAGCGGTGAGTCCGCGCGTGGCCCGCCCTCATTGTTCTATTGGCCACTTCCGTCCGCGTCTCTTCCCCGCACTGCGCGCTTGACTCAGTCACGGTTGTGGTGAGCCCACAAGCTACTAACCCCTAGTAGCCACAATGAGTATAAGACAAACACAAGCTACTAACCCCTAGCAGCCAAGATGAGTGAGAAGCAAACGTCGCTGGAGAGCTTCTTTGAAAAAGGGGGAAAGATCCAATGATGAACACCTCCACCCCCCGGTCCGTGAAATAATTGTCTTCGACGAAACCGATCCCTGGTGCCAAAAAGGTTGGGGGCCGCTGTATATTAACTCAAGACCCTGAATCTACCAGGGGTGGTACAGATGTCACGTGACCCCCCCCCAACCCCCGCCACCCATTTAATTCTCTAAAACGTAATATATTTTTTTGGACGTAAGGTTTATTTAAAACGGCTTGTTATTTTTGCCTCTATATTTCTACATAGTCATCATCGTCATGATCATCAACATCATGACCGTCATCATCAAATATTCGCGTCTGCTGCTGCTGCTGCTGCCACGATTAGCGCGGAGTTCATCGACGGCACAGCAATTTAGTTGTGATGTCATCCGGTCACGTGATGTCACCGGTCACGTGATGTCACCAGTCAATTGACTACGTCCGTTGAACGCTCCGGGTAGCGTTGTTGCTCCCAGTCCACCGCTTGAAGTTTCCCTCGAACCGAGATTTCCTTCGAGCACCCGTCGCCTTCAATGTCGCGTTCAACGCGTTCGTTGGATGCGGACTTCGTGAACGGTTGCCGCGTTCGGCGAGAAACGGCCGAGTCGTCGAATTACATTTCCCGCTGTTTATTTCACCCCGCAGGCATTCCCATGGCGGGACCATGAATCGAGACGAGGGTGCATCGCCGCGTGCCGCATCACTCCGCGTGCTCGTATCGGTCCGCTCAACTGCGTAGCTCATGAAAGTAGTTCGTCGCCGACTATTCAGAAACCGCGTTATAACGGTGCACGCGTTCCGCGTTCTAACAGCGTGCATTCTGCCCTATAATGGCGCGCATCCCGCGTTATAACGGCAGTCATCCCGCGTTATAACGAAGCGCCTTCCGCGTTATAACGACAGTCATCCCGCGTTATAACGAAGCGCCTTCCGTGTTACAACGGCGCACATCCCACGTGAAAGCGATGTGCATTCCACCCCATATTGGGCGTGCATCCCGCGTTATAACGAAGCGCCTTCCGCTGTTGAGCAAAAAGCGTTCCCCCAATAGCAGAAATAGTGTTATAGCGATAAACGAGTTTGCGTGAACACAACGCATTAAGCGAGGGCTTGATCATGGAGGTAAACAAAAAAAAACACTAAATCAATTAGCACGGTTGGCTACGTACGGTACGCAAGAAGTTCAACGTACGTACCGTTTTTTTTTCTTCTTGGTTCTTTCGGTAAAGTCACGTAGAAGGGAAATAATAAAATAAGAAAATAAAACATAATAAAAAAATTCTCGCGACGTTTCGGCCACAACGCAAGCAGCCGTCCTTGCGTTGTGGCGGAAACGTCGTGAGAATTATTTTATTATGTATTATTATTTTATTATTTCCCTTATACGTGACTTTACCGAAAGAACCAAGAAGATGAATCCCTGCAGTCACGAAAGCTTTAAATCGGTACGTACCGTTGTCGAGGCTGCCACTCCAGAGACTCATGACACGGCCAGACAAGACTTTAATGGTGGCATTAAGGAGAGCCTTTTTTTAAATCCTTTATATTAAGTTCACTTGCTTGCTTAGGACCGTGCAAATCTTTCGGTCGTTTTTTAACCCACTTCCCGTGATCCAATCGAGCTGACATTTTCCACACAGACTCGTTGTGCGTGACAATGTTCGAGAAAAAAAATCCAAAATTTTACACTTTTTAGGACAAAAATATTATATTTAATTACCAATTGCTTAATGGTGCAATGCAATCATCTGACCCATAGGTGGCAGCCATCTCAAGCCAGAGGACGAGAGGACTCTAGCCGCCACGCATATAAAGGATTTATAGTGAAAAACTTTGTTTTTACGGGTTATACTTGTTCCCAGCTATGAAGTTAATCATCGACTGCTGGACACATTCATTTTAGGTTGACTTTTTTTCCCCCAGGGAGAGGGAATCCTCGGGATATTATGGTAACATTTAATATTTAAACGCTTGCAGACGTTGTTGTTGTTCCTCGGCTGTAGCAGTCAGCCGTAGCACATGGGAATGGAAAGAACTGGAGCGTCGAACGGTCGGAATTGGATGGACATCAAAGCACAGAAAGCGATTAAGAGTAACAACGTCAATTACAACTGTAAATCATAGATATATATGAGGCATAAATACAGGAGGGTCAAACACCAAATAGACATCGATTTAAAAGCATTAACCGATTAGCACGGTTCAACATGCAGGCCAATATATTTCAAGGACAATGCCGACATTACACTATGTAACACGATTTTTGTTCCTGGGTTTTAAGTGTTATTTTCTACATGGTTATACCTCAAAAGAATAGAAAATGGCTATAATTCCCCACAAACTTTGCTTTTGTGACCAGGACTTTACGTGAAGGAATAACACAAATGCACACGTTTCTCATTGAAAATAGGTAAATTAATTTAAATAATAGAATACATACTATATACTACTACACACTACTATACACACTACACTACTATATACACTACTATATACACTACACACTTTTCGATTTAAAGCTTTCGTGACTCCAGGGATTCATCTTCTTGGTTCTTTCGGTAAAGTCACGTAGAAGGGAAATAATAAAATAATAAAAATAAAACATTATGTTTTATTTAAAACATTGTTTTTTTAATTGTATTTTTATTTCCCTTCTACGTGACTTTACCGAAAGAACCAAGAAGACACTACACACTGTTATACACACTACACTACTATACCCACTACACTACTATACACACTACACTACTATATACACTACTATATACTACTGCACACAGTTATACACACTACACTACTATACCCACTACACTACTATATACACTACACTACTATATACACTACACTACTATACACACTACACGAATATATACTACTACACTACTATACACACTACACTACTATACACACTACACGACTATACTACTACACTACTATACACACTACACTACTATCTACTACTACATTACTATATACACTACTATACACACTACACGACTATATACTACTACACTACTATACACACGACGATAATCAGGAACGCCTCTGCTTACGAACCAGTTCAATTCCAGAGGTCTGTTCGTAAGTCAATTTGTTCGTAAGTCAAACTTTACTCGATTGCAAACATGTTGTGCAACGTGTACACCCAACGTAGCTATTGAACCTACGCCTCTCGGTCCTAACAGGCAACTGGACATACGGACAGGTTTGTTCTTATCTCTGAAAGGTTGTAAGTCGAATGTTCGTAATCAGAAGAGTCCCTTATATTTAAAATATAAACCGGTTAGCGATTAACGGCACAATTCAATGCTGTAGTCTTCTTGGTTCTTTCGGTAAAGTCACGTAGAATGTAAATAATAAAATAATAAAAATAGAACATAACATCTCCTAGCCACCGTGATGATGATGATGAAATAGAGAGAGACACGCCAACTCCAAATATACAGCAGCAGGCATCAGGATCGGGATCGAACCCCCGACCTCCTGCATACCAGGCGAGGTAGTTAACATCTCCTAGCCCCTTTAAAACATAAATACATCTGCTCATGCCAGGGGTTGTATCAATCAATCACCTTTTGCCGTTTGAGGGTTTAGCGGTTTCTCCAAATCCGTCTCGTAGAGAATCTTAAATAGAATGGATTATGGTGGCGAGTGTTCTAATTCTACACACATTGCAAGCACGTCACTCTACATGTGCTCCACAGACTTCAAGCGATGTCCATAATACAGGTTTTTTTAGGGGGTGTTAGATCGCATAAATAGCTTAATTTGGAGTTTCTCAACATTTTCTGGTTTGAAGAAAAGTATCCCCATAGATTCTAGATTTGAAGCTTTCGTGACTGCAAGGATTCATATTCTTAGGTTTTTTCGGTAAAGTCACGTAGGTAAAACATTGAAATTTATAAAAGTAAAATAAAATAAAAATCACGACGTTTCGGAGGCAACACAAGCTTCCGTCTTCAGGTGAAACCGTCACAGCCACGACAGCTGTATCATTTACTTGTATCATTTACTTGTATCATTTACTTGAAAAACCCTAAGAATATGTATCCCCATAGAGATTAGTCAGTTTAACACGTCAGCTTTCACGACCAATATTATCCATAATACAGAATTATTTTTGGGTTACATCGAACCAAAAAAAAACTGTTAATATTTAAGCGATGTGTTTCGTTTAGCTAAATTGGGGTCCTCCCCCCAACTTGATTTTACCTAGTTTAAAAAAATTGGCAATGTATCTACATATTATCCATCACGCTGACGGGTCTCTGTGTGACTCTATGGGTCTCTGTGTGAGTCTATGTATGTATTTGAACTTTTTTTGCACCGTACGTAGCCAACCGTGCTAATCGGAGGGTGCGGTTTCGATGTATTTTCGAGTCATGCCGCCTTTAAAATTTGTATTATTTTTTTTACGCTTATTTACCCAGGAAAGCCGAGTCGCTGAGTCTCAAGACTCTTTTTTAAGTGTCTTGGCGAGATGTTGCTAGGTGTGATAAGCAATTCTTTTGAGTTGAAGCTTTCGTGACTGCAGGAATCCATACTCTTCGGTTCTTTCGGTAAAGTCCCGTGGGGTAGAAAAGAATAGACCACGACGTTTCGATCGCAACACAAGCGAATGTCATCAGGTGGGACAACCGCAGCAGGGAAACTTCTTTCTGCTGTGATTGTCTCACCTGATGACGGCCGCTTGTGTTGCGATCGAAACGTCGTCGTCTATTATTTTCTACCTATACGTGACTTTACCGAACGAACCAAAGAGTAAAACAATTATTTTCAGATTTTTTTTTTTACATCATTGAGATCTTTGGCCAATACCGTTGGTATAGTTGGGAGTTTTTTTTTCGCTATGGCAGGGAAAGCTGAGAACCCGGAGGGCGAGGTGCTGGCCACCCACCCCCTCGTGTGCCATAGTGCAGACCTTCACAGGTGCAACTCGCGAACAGCACTTGCCCCGACAGTCTGCTGACGCTCCATGGGGGATCTTTGTCTTTGTATTTTTGGTGGTGCGGTGCCGGGAAGGTTGCGAGACTCTTCTCATTCTTACTCTTAGGTTTTTTCGGTCAAGTCACGTAGGTAAAAATAAATAATAAAAAGTAATAATAAAAAATAATGTAAATAAATAACATGTTATTTACTTTTATTTCTATTACAATTTCGATAAAGTTTATTATTTATTTATTTTTATTTATTTTTCCCCTGCGTGACTTTACCGAAAGTATAAATCCTTGCAGTCACGAAAGCCTCAAATCTAGAATCTTCTCATTCTGTCGTACGGCTGCCGACGTCGACCGCAGAGCAACAGAATTACATGTTGACATCCAGGCGGTTCAAGCCAGCAGAGTAAGTGCGTCGTCGTGACGATGTCTCCCTTGATTCTAGATTTGAAGCTTTCGTGACTGCAAGGATTTATACTATTAGTTCTTTCGGTAAAGTCACGTAGGTAAAAAATGAAATTTTTATTTTATTTTTATTAATTTTTATTTCATTTTTTACCTACGTGACTTTACCAAAAGAACTAAGAGTTTTATGTCTCCCTTCCCCGTATCTGTCGCTCGGGAGAGATACGGGGGGGGGGGGGTCGTGGCGGACGATATGGAAGTCACCATTGGAACCTCATTTGCCAGTAAAAAATATGATAATTGTTTTTTTACCCTTCTATCTGGCAACAAAACTGACACCTTTTTTTACAAGGAGTCATGTTTGCATAGACTACAATACCTGCAGTCATAATGCAAACAAAAAACATAACACAACAGTGCACATTATCAGAGTTATGTGTTTTGTTTGCATTATGACTGCAGGTATTGTAGTCTATGCAAACATGACTCCTTGTAAAAAAATGTATCAGTTTTGTTGCCAGACAGAAGGGTAAAAAAACCAACTATTATAATATGGAAGTCATTCATCCAACAGCCCTGGGTGGACTTCATCCGTGTGCGTGTGTTGTTGTTGTTGTTTGTTGTTCTTGATGTCGGATGACGTTGTCGTCCTCTGTCCACCGCAGGGATGATGAGTTGCTTTGCCGGAACGCGGGGCTCCGCTCGCGTGTGGCTCTGCGCGGTCGCTCTGTGCCTGCTGGCGAGCGCGTGTGCTCGTGGCGCGGCCGCCTTCCCCAACAAGCCCGACAGCCCCGGGGAGGACGCCCCCGCGGAGGATCTGGCCCGGTACCTGTCTGCCGTGCGCCACTACATCAACCTCATCACCCGGCAACGGTGCGTGCAACAACCACCACCAACACCAATACCGCCACCACCAACAACACCGCACCGTCACGTTCTACCCCCCCCCACCACCACCGCCCCCGACCCAGACCAGCCCCCCCCCCCCCACGTGGTCCGGCCCCCCCCCCCGACCCTGGAGCCGCATCGGCCCCCCACCCCACGCCCCCCCCCCCCGGCTCCCCTCCCCAACCAACTCCCTCCCCCCCTGTTCAGCCCCCCAACCCCTCAGACACGGACCAGCCCCACGGCGGGTTCAGAGTTGTGTGGGGGCGAGGGGGGAGGGGCAAACCCACCCCCACCCCACACGGCTCCCACGCCAATCAGTGTAATTGAGAACTATCCAGAAAAGTCAAGTCGAGTTGATTTTGTTGTTGCTTGCAGACACGTGTGTGGCCCACGCCTATACGGCACAAATCTGCCACCGCCGCGCGAATCGGAGGCGTGCAGGTGTTTTTGGCAAGGCCGTAATTAGAATATTTATGGGGGGACTGTCCCCCCATAAATATTCAAAAATGCTCAAAATATACCCCCCCCCTCCAATACATCGCTATAAAATAGATGTCTGTTTATAGGATTGTGGTTATGGTTGTACTTTATTAATCTCGAATCTCTGCCATTTCATACAATGAAACAAGAAAAGGTAAAAAATAAAAAACAGAGCAATGTAATACAATACACTATTAGACATTATTGTTTAAAAAAATACGTTAAAAGTCCATCCTACGTTTCGATTTAAAGCTTTCGTGACTGCAGGGATTCATCTTCTTGGTTCTTTCGGTAAAGTCACGTAGAAGGGAAGTAATAAAATAATAAAAATAAAACATAATAAAATAAAATAATTCTCACGACGTTTCGGCCACAACGCAAGCAGCCGTCTTCAGGTGAGGACGGCTGCTTGCGTTGTGACTTTACCGAAAGAACCAAGAAGATCCATCCTACGTGTTAGTGAATTTTTAAATATTTTAGGCAGGAAATGGCAGGAAATTAGTTTTCAAATTTCGTTTTTTTTTCTGGGGGGGGGGGGGACCCCGGACCCCCTGGAAGATTTGCCCCCCCCCCCCAATGTTGACTCCATGGTTGGCAACTTACGGTGCGAAAGAAACTCGACAGACATCGAGTTCAGGTGCCGGGTTGACGTTGTATCGTGTATAAGGGAGGCCTTCATCCAGCAGTGGATTGATCATGGCCTGCTTTTTTGGAACTTGTGGTTGCGAAATAAGTTCGAAGTTTATGCAAGAGTTTGGGTCTCTATGGGTCTGTGTGGGTTTCTGTTGGTGTCTATGTTTCTACACGAGTCTCTGGATCGTTGTGGGTATCCATGGGTATGTTCCTTCCGATGCTAAGAGCTAAATCATCTCGATTGAAAACCCATTTCTTGAGGACAGTTTTTGTGTGTCTTCTTGGTTCTTTCGGTAAAGTCACGTAGAATGGAAATAATAAAATAATAAAAATACAACATTATAAAAATAAAAGGTGGAGAACAGGTCTGTCGACAGACAGACCTGTTCTCCACCTGAGGACGGCTGCTTGCGTTGTGGCCGAAACGTCGTGAGAAATATTTTAATGTTTTATTTTATTATTTATTATTTCTATTCTACGTGACTTTACCGAAAGCACCAAGAAGTTCAACATACATGGTCGATGCCAGTGATGTATTTTAATAAGTGTGGTTGATGTCGCACTATGGACCGCTGTGTTTGTTTTTTAGTAATGCGTTCCATCATTATAATGAGTATCGTCATTGTCGGTGTTGTTCACTTTCGTTTTCCACCAAAAGGTATGGAAAGAGGGCACTGACCGAGCCCTACGTCCCAGAGTTTATATTTCAAGAAAATCGTGGTGATAGGAGCAGCAACCCAAGGTACGAATTCTGTTGCTCAGACTACTCTGTGGTCGCATCGCATCTACATTTGAAGTTTTCGCGACTGCAAGGATCCATACTCTTTGTTTTGTTCGGTAAAGTCACGTAGGTAAAAGTAAAATAAATTAGAAATATCTTCTTGGTTCTTTCATTAAAGTCACGTAGAGAGCGATAGTGTAGCGGTTAGCGCGCTGCGCTACGAACCCGGCGACCCGAGTTCGATTCCCGCTCACGGCCAACACTGGTGACGATTATCTGAACCGGTCCCGGGCCTCCCCTAGGTCGACTCAGCCTCAAATGAGTACCTGGTGCGGTGTGTAAACATTGCCACAAGGGAGACAAAGGCGGCCGGGCGTGATGTCGGCCACCCACCCCCTCGTGTGCGTGTCATGCCAGCCTTCATAGGTGCTCGCTAACGGCACTTGCCCCAGCAGTCTGTTACAGGCTACACGGGGGATCTTTGTCTTTGTTACATTGTGTGTGTGTGATTTGCGATGTTTTCAGACAATGGTCATTCTTCATCGCTCGAAACGTCTGCTATGAATAACAGTACCAAATGTATTAGCATGCTGTAAAAGTACCAAATGTATTAGCATGCTATAACAGTACCAAATTTATTATATGCTATCAAGATTGCCTAAAACTTTGCCAATTATATTGATTGTCTTCCTTATTAGAGTAAAAGTGTTGTTGACGGTTGTTTAGAGCTATTTGTTGTTGCTGTTGCTTGTGATCTGTGCACCACTGCCAACGCAGCATCGATTCATTCTCTTTATTAAATCCTTTATATTAAGTTCGCTTGCTTGCGCGCTTACGACCGTGCAAATCTTTCGGTCGTTTTTTAACCCACTTCCCGTGATCCAATCGAGCTGACATTTTGCACACAGACTGGTTGTGCGAGACAATTAATGTTCGTGAAAAAATCTTTCCTAAATTTTACACTGTTTAGGATTTTTTTTAAAATATTTAATTACCAATTGCTTAATAGTGGCAGGCAATCATCTGACCCATAGGTGGCAGTCATCTCAAGCCAGAGGACGAGAGGACTCTAGCCGCCCGTTTCAAAGACCAATGTGGGCTGGGTTGTGGCCCATTGAACACGCATATAAAGGATTTATTGTGAAAAACTTTGTTTTTACGGGTTAATTTTTTTTTCATATTCTGATGAAGTCGTTAACAGATGGCTCTGGTGGGTCTTCTCTCTCTCTCTCTCTTACCTTGCAGATTTGACAGCGTGACCATGTGGTGATTTGGTTAGAATTGAAGATGCCCGTCAACTCTTCATCCACCTCCCCTCTCCTCCTCCTACCCATCGAGCCCCCCAAACCCCACCCCTCCATTCACACCCCCCCCCCATTCCTCCTCACCCCTCCCCAGCCCCCCACCCCCCAATCCACTGCACCTCCCAATTGACCCCCAACCCCCCATTCACCCCCCTAACTCCCCCCCTCTTCTCTCCATCGCCCCGTAAACCCCCATCCACCCCCCCCTCCTCATCCCCATCGCCCCCCACAATGGATAAGTCAGAAGTTCCATCACGCTCTGCCATTTGAAAACAACCATCGGGTCTGCCTCGATTAGGCAATTAAAAAATAAAAACCCCTTCTGTTGAAATGCATGAACCTGTCCCGTACGTTGTGTTGCCCTGGATGGTTATACGATTACAAAAAAAAGGAAGGAAAAAAATTGACAAACACACAAAAAATTCACAAAACACGCGTTGGTTTGTTTTTGCGCCGTGTACATATTGAGCATCGCGTCGTAGTTTGTGTCTTATTCGGCGTGTTGAAATGTGTAATGTGGGAGATGTTATTCGCGGATCGGATTAGTCCTAAGAAAAAAAAATCAAAGTACGTTTTCGATGTAGCCCCCCCCACTCCCCCTCTGTGTGCCACCGCTACCCCCCCCGCCCCCCCCCCCAAGATTTGTCTTTTAATTTATTTCACTTGAATATAACACAATAATAAAATGGACAGCAGCATCATCCCAGAGCGTGTGTTTTTACTTGGCTGAGCGCTGCTCAGTGGCGTAGCGAGCGTGGGGGGCGGGGGGGGCAGTCAGGGGGGTGCATTGCCCCCTCCCCAACTCTCCCCTGGTGGCCAAGGCTACGAGTTTGGGGGCCCCCCCCCAGACAACCCACTATGAGATTGTTGTCAACGGCAAGTGTCAAACAAGAAGAATAAGAACAACAACACATATTCATCTTCTTGGTTCTTTCGGTAAAGTCACGTAGAAGGGAAGTAATTAAAAATAAAACATAATAAAATACAATTCTCACGACGTTTTCGGCCACAACGCAAGCAGCCGTCCTCAGGTGAAGAACAGGGCTGTCGGAAAGACAGCACTTATTAAAACGCGGTTTAAATTTAGTTTTAAACGCAAAAGCTTTCGTTTCCCTTCCACGTTCTATTTTACTTCAATTAGAGCGCGTCACGTAACATCGCAAAGAGGTGGCTACTACGGAGCTGGAGAGAGCTGCGTTCTACGAAGGACGCAGCGCACCCCTACAGCGTTAAATGTTCGAAAACCGTGAGCGTAACGACGATGCGGTTAGTCGGCAGAGGAGGCCGCGATATAGAAACAGCCTCTAGGGGGCCACCGTGCGAGAGACAAATATTTGGAGGGCAGGCAGCCGCACCTCTTGAGATGATAATGTAGTCACTACGTCACTGATGTAGTTACAACGCCACTGATGTAGTTACTACGTCACTGATACTGTAGTCACTACGCTACTGATAATGTAGTTACTACGTCACTGATAACATAGTCACTACGTCACTGATGTAGTTACAACGCCACTGATGTAGTTACTACGTCACTGATACTGTAGTCACTACGCTACTGATAATGTAGTTACTACGTCACTGATAACATAGTCACTACGTCACTGATGTAGTTACTACGTCACTCTTCTTGGTTTTTTCGGTAAAGTCACGTAGTAGGGAAATAATCAAATAATATAAAACAATAAAATGAAATTCTCACGACGTTTCGGCCACAACGCAAGCAGCCGTCCTTGCGTTGTGACCGAAACGTCGTGATAATTTCATTTTATGATGTTTTATTTTTTATTATTTTATTATTTCCCTTCTACCTGACTTTACCGAAAGAACCAAAAATATGAATTCCCTGCAGTCACAAAAGCTTTTAATCGAAATACTACGTCACTGATAATGTAGTTACTACGCCACTGATAATGTAGTTACTACGCCACTGATAATGTAGTTACTACGCCACTGATAATGTAGTTACTACGTCACTGATAATGTAGTCACTACACCACTGATAATGTAGTTACTACGCCACTGATAATGTAGTTACTACGCCACTGATAATGTAGTTACTACGCCACTGATAATGTAGTTACTACACCACTGATAATGTAGTCACTACGCCACTGATAATGTAGTTACTACGCCACTGATAATGTAGTCACTACACCACTGATAATGTAGTTACTACGCCACTCATAATGTAGTTACTATGCCACTGATAATGTAGTTACTACGCCACTGATAATGTAGTTACTACGCCCCTGATAATGTAGTTACTACACCACTGATAATGTAGTTACTACACCACTGATAATGTAGTCACTACGCCACTGATAATGTAGTTACTACGCCACTGATAATGTAGTCACTACACCACTGATAATGTAGTTACTACGCCACTCATAATGTAGTTACTATGCCACTGATAATGTAGTTACTACGCCACTGATAATGTAGTTACTACGCCACTCATAATGTAGTTACTACGCCACTCATAATGTAGTTACTATGCCACTGATAATGTAGTCACTACGCCACTGATAATGTAGTTACTACGTCACTGATAATGTAGTCACTACACCACTGATAATGTAGTTACTACGCCACTGATAATGTAGTCACTACGCCACTGATAATGTAGTTACTACGCCACTGATAATGTAGTCACTACACCACTGATAATGTAGTTACTACGCCACTCATAATGTAGTTACTATGCCACTGATAATGTAGTCACTACACCACTGATAATGTAGTTACTACGCCACTCATAATGTAGTTACTACGCCACTGATAATGTAGTTACTACGCCACTGATAATGTAGTTACTACACCACTGATAATATAGTTACTACACCACTGATAATGTAGTTACTACACCACTGATAATGTAGTTACTACACCACTGATAATATAGTTACTACGCCACTGATAATGTAATTACTACACCACTGATAATGTAGTTACTACACCACTGATAATGTAGTTATTACACTACTGATAATGTAGTCACTACGTCACTGATAATGTAGTTACTACACCACTGATAATGTAGTTACTACACCACTGATAATGTAGTTACTACACCACTGATAATGTAGTTACTACGCCACTGATAATGTAGTTACTACACCACTGATAATGTAGTTACTACGCCACTGATAATATAGTTACTACACCACTTATAAGTATTAATACACCACTGATATGTTTACTACACCACTGATGATAATGTAGGTTATACACCACTGATAAATGTAGTTACTACGCCACGATAATATAGTTACTACGCCACTGATAATGTAGTTACTACACCACTGATATGTAGTTACTACAACCACTGATAATGTAGTTACTACACCACTGATAATGTAGTTACTACACCACTGATAATGTAGTTATTACACCACTGATAATGTAGTCACTACGTCACTGATAATGTAGTTACTACACCACTGATAATGTAGTTACTACACCACTGATACTGTAGTCACTACACCACTGATAATGTAATTACTACAACCACTGATAATGTAGTTATTACACCACTGATAATGTGTTACTACACCACTGATAATGTAGTTACTACACCACTGATAGTAGTCACTACACCACTGATAATGTAGTTAGTACACACTGATAATGTAGTACTACGCCACTGATAAGTAGTTACTACACCACTGATAATGTTAGTTACTACGCCACTGATAATTGTAGTTACTACGTCATTGATAATGTAGGTACTACACCACTGATAATGTAGTACTACACCACTGATAATGTAGTTACTACACCACTGATATGTAGTTACTACACACTGATAATGTAGTTACTACACCACTGATAATGTAGTACTACACCACTGATAATGTAGTTACTACGCCACTGATAATGTAGTTATTACACCACTGATAATGTAGTTACTACACCACTGATAATGTAGTTACTACACACTGATAATGTAGGTCACTACACCACTGATATGTAGTTAGTACACCACTGATAATGTAGTTACTACGCCACTGATAATGTAGTTACTACACCACTGATAATGTAGTCACTATGTCACTGCTATGTAGTTACTACACCAATGATAATGTAGCTTATTTTTTTTTTATACACCACTGATAATGTAGTTCACTACACACTGATAATGTAGATTACTACACCACTGATAATGTAGTTATTACACCACTGATAATGTAGTTACTACACCACTGATAATGTAGTTACTACACCACTGATAATGTAGTCACTACACCACTGATAATGTAGTTAGTACACCACTGATAATGTAGTTACTACGCCACTGATAATGTAGTTACTACACCACTGATAATGTAGTTACTACGCCACTGATAATGTAGTTACTACGCCACTGATAATGTAGTTACTACGTCATTGATAATGTAGTTACTACACCACTGATAATGTAGTTACTACACCACTGATAATGTAGTTACTACACCACTGATAATGTAGTTACTACACCACTGATAATGTAGTTACTACACCACTGATAATGTAGTTACTACGCCACTGATAATGTAGTTATTACACCACTGATAATGTAGTTACTACACCACTGATAATGTAGTTACTACACCACTGATAATGTAGTCACTACACCACTGATAATGTAGTCTAGCTACACCACTGATAATGTAGTTACTACGCCACTGATAATGTAGTTACTACAATGTAGTTACTACGCCACTGATAATGTAGTTACTACACCACTGATAATGTAGTTACTACGCCACTGATAATGTAGTTACTACGCCATTGATAATGTAGTTACTACACCACTGATAATGTAGTTACTACGTCATTGATAATGTAGTTACTACGCCACTGATAATGTAGTTACTACACCACTGATAATGTAGTTACTACGTCATTGATAATGTAGTTACTACACCACTGATAATGTAGTTATTACACTACTGATAATGTAGTCACTACATCACTGATAATGTAGTTACTACACCACTGATAATGTAGTTACTACACCACTGATAATGTAGTTACTACACCACTGATAATGTAGTTACTACACCACTGATAATGTAGTTACTACACCACTGATAATGTAGTTACTACACCACTGATAATGTAGTACTACAACCACACTGATAATGTAGTTACTACGCCACTGATAATGTAGTTATTACACCACTGATAATGTAGTTACTACACCACTGATAATGTAGTTACTACACCACTGATAATGTAGTCACTACACCACTGATAATGTAGTTAGTACACCACTGATAATGTAGTTACTACGCCCTGTATAATGTAGTACTACACCACTGATAATGTAGTCACTACGTCACTGATAATGTAGTTACTACACCACTGATAATGTAGTTACTACACCACTGATAATGTAGTCACTACACCACTGATAATGTAATTACTACACCACTGATAATGTAGTTATTACACCACTGATAATGTAGTTACTACACCACTGATAATGTAGTTACTACACCACTGATAATGTAGTCACTACACCACTGATAATGTAGTTAGTACACCACTGATAATGTAGTTACTACGCCACTGATAATGTAGTTACTACACCACT